AAAGGGATGATTTATGATTGCGTTCTGTTAACTTACTTGTCCACACAAAGTGTATTGCTAGTGTGGAAAGAAAAAATGGAAATGTTAGAGAAACTGTGCTACGAGGCATCAAATACGATAAATTGCAAGAAAAATGTGTACATTTAAATTTCTTTTTTGACAGATTTACCTTCGTCAATGTGGGGCCATTACTTTCCTGAAGCAGTATTAAATAATAAATATAAGTAATGTAAATTTCCACATCGATATAACCGTTATAATTTGAAACTAAAAACCTTCGATTGTTTCGTATCTTGACATTCGATCTCTACTATCTTCGAAATATTCTATTACATCGAGTGTTCGCTCGAAACACGAATAGAAGGTTTTCAGTTCGCAGTAATACGTTCGTAACGAGCGAAGAAAGATGACGTACCTTGTTCGGGTCATGATCTACAGGCGCTTTCAGACGAGTCAACATCTTGTACGTTTCCAAGTTGCGAGCAAATCCTCTAAAAATATTTTTCACATTAGTCGCAAGTTGATTCGGATACTCTGCAATTGCAATTGACGCGCTGTATTTACGCTCTGGCTTACTTTCCACGAAGCTGAACAGCTAAATCCCAATTTTTATCGGCCATGGCATGCGCCACTGCCTTGGTACGACGAACGCATTCCATTAGCGGCAATCGAACAGCTTGATTTCCGTCCAATGTAACCACGCACGCTTCTGTTTCCGGCGTTGCCTCCATTAAAGCCATTACGGCTTCTGCACCCATTCGACAACCCTTTATATTATTACCATACAGTTAATACGTTTAAATCGTTCGTAGAGCTTTACGATTGATCGTTAACAGTTCGGATGCCAACGGATTAATGAAGATGACTAACCAGAACTCTGTCAAACGCCGACGGATTACCGCCTCTCTGAACATGACCAAGGACGGTAATCCTGGTATCTTGCTGTAGCTTGTCAACGACAACTTTATGAACTTTTTCAGCGGTGATCGGTTCGCCGTTTCTATCCACTGCTCCCTCGGCTACAATAATAATGTTCAAACGTTGACCGGTAAGTCGTTCCTGAAATATAAACATTTCGTTGTCAGTACGCGCGCAAAAGTCCCAACAGCTAGTCGTATAAATAATTTGCGCTGGAGTAAAAGTACAGACTTTCAAACTTCACGAATAACATAAGATATTATCTAAAAAAATATACAGTGTCAGTACGATGATTAATGTTAACTAAAGCTATTACATTACACGAACATGTGTTGCCATTCGTTAAACATAATACGATTAACGTGCGCAGCTAACTGATGTACGAGATAAAGAAAAAAACGGAGTGCAATAATGCGAATGAGCTTACCGAAATAAAAAAAAGAAAGTGAATTAAAATTATAAGAGATATCCTGTTCAGCCTGTTCGCAGCTAAACGAATAAAGCATAAATTCTCAAAAGTAATTTCTTCTTTGCGTCCGATTGTGCTATACAATGAGATGTAC